GGTTTCTTGAACCACTTTGTCCTGAGGATCTCTTGTAGCCTTCTCGGCTCTAGCTTGCCTCAACCTTTCCTGCGCTGCAGTCCTGGAGAAGCTAAAAAAAAAAGGAACAATAAACACGTTATAAATCACGTCAACTTGCTGAAACAAAACATAAACCAAGGGTAAGATTTTACCTCGCAACTTTGCTCGTAAAGCCTTCATTGTCCGAAGTTTTCTCGACTTCGCCAGAATCCACCTGTATAGTTGTGACTCGAGGAGTCGTTTTCCTCTGCTTCGTAGGGGAGCTCGCAGGGATATCTGCTCCCATTGCTGGAGCCGCCTTTCTCCTCTTTTGGCCGACCCCTTCGGGCCTCGGCTGCGACATCCTCTTAGCGATTGAAAATATCAAAACATGCAAATAAGGCACCACGCTCCAAAAAAGAAGAAGGGAAGGAAAGGTTTTCTCTACCAATAACCTAAGCCCATCGAGACCAGGAAGACCGCGCCGAACTATCTCAGATAAAAGGAAAACTCTTAAGGATAATCTTTGAAGTCTGGAAGCATTGGATCAACTCAAAAGATAAAGGAGAATTTCTATATACTTCGGAGAATATGGAATATTTTCATATCGCAAATATGAAAATATTCACCAAAGAAGAAAAGGAAAAGGAGCTTGGAGCGACCGACCTCATATTCCTATAAATAAAAAGACCATTGAGCTCAAGAAGATAACTCATACAACCTAGAGAGCAGCAGAGCTAAATTTATGTTATTATTGTATGAATAGGCACAAAAAGTTCTCACCTTGTAAGAACACCTTCTGAGATGTGTAAAACACCTTCTGAGTTATTATTGTATAAATAAACACAAAAGTTCTCAATTATATATTTTAGGAAGATCTTTCTAAATGTGTAAAATAACTTCATAAGTTTGATTTGTTGTATAAATAAACACAAGTTCCCATTAGACGTTTTATTAAACCTATTTTTGAGTTTTTATACTCCTAGGAAAGTCTTTTTAAAAGTATTCAAATATAGACTTTTTGCTTTCTGTACAGAAAATAAAACGAAGTTAAAGCCATACAAAAGCTAATCAAACTATAGACATTTTTTCTGTAAAATGTGAGTAATTTTATCAAGAAAGCGAATTTGAGTTTCACATGGAATCAATAAGATAATTTCCAATATTCATGGTCCAAACTCCATGAAGGAGGCTGAAAATTCAGGATAATTTCGCAGCAACCTGAGATTCAATAAAACTCAAATCCGATCGACCAGGAAAACAAAATCGACCTTCGAGAAAATGCTGAGATTCGATCAAATACACAATCAGAAATCATCAAAACATCTAATCAAAGATTAAAAATTTGGTCAACATGAGATCTTTTGTGTCAAAGTTGCATTGGAGACTTGATTGGAAATTGAATTTCACACAGTTTAGTGAAGGAGAAATAAAATGTGATTTAAAAATTAGTAGATAAGTTTCTCGTTTAACTAAGAGCAATATGGCCAGAGCCAAAATCTGGAATTCTCCTCTTTCTCTAAACCAAATCAATTATATCTTCTATTAATTTATTATACTCTTTTAAATATGGAAATACAATTTTACCTATCAATTTAATTTTAAATAGGCTTTTAATTCGCGCTACGTGCGAGACTGTATTAATAATTTGGTTTAATTTTTTTGCTAATATTTTTTAAATTATCAAAACTATAATATATTTGTAAAAATTTTCTTTTATATAAAATAATTAAAACATAATATGTAGCATTTCCTATTTTTATTTACAAAATTATAAATCTAAGTAAAATCATAGTAATGACACCTAACGAATTATCCAACTTTGATGTGCATATGTTTGATTTAGAAAATGATTTTCTTACTAAATTTTTGGTGTTTTGTTTTATATCCTTAGGATTTCTATGGTTCTTTTTTTGAGAGGTTTATATGTTTAAATATTTAGTTTCTTTACTAAATATTTCACTAATGTTGTGTACATATATATATATATATATAATATTTGATATATGTTGATTCAGATTTACTTTTGTTAGTAAGCTACACTAATCGTGTAAAGCTGCTTTTTGCTTCTCCATCAGATCTTCTATGAATTTTAGGTTATATCTCTATTCAGTTTATAAGATCTGTTTTATTTGCAGTCAACTATTTGCTAATATTTGTTTTTAAACATGTAAGATGATGTTAAGACTTCACATTATCACTGTTTTTTTTAATCTTTTGTGTGTTTATTCATTTGAATATTTTATCTTCATATATTCCCATTTGAATTTGATCATAACTTTGTCATATTATATTATTTAAATAAAATTTTAGAGGATGTTGCTCATGTGTTGTTCATGTTGACTAGTTATAAGCAATAAATATGTATACAGATCAGATTTTATTACTTATTATATTTTGAATGTAAAGTTACTTGTGCAGTATTTTACTTTGTTAATTTTTCAACCAGACGCAACCAAAGTATTAATCTTTGTAAATTTAATTAATATGTTTGATTTAGAAACTTGTATAACCTATTAAAACTTTATATGGTTATTCATAGTCAACACCAATATTTAAAAATCATGAATGTTTTTGGAACTATATTTCAAACTAATTTTCTTCTTAGATCTTTTTTTGTTATTTTAAATATCTTCAACGGTAATTTTGTATTTTATTTTAATTATCTAATTTTCTGCAGGTTTGGTATACTTAAAACATATATATTTTAATTAATCTCTTTTGTTATTGATTTTTCAAATAGGTAGCATATATATTAATCTAATATCTTTTACATAAATGCTTTTCTTTTTTTTAAATTAATTAAAATGCTATTTTGACATGCTATAACTGGTTATTCTAAATTTTAAGTGAACTTCTATCAAAAGCTTTTACCATCATTTGCTTTTTTTTAGTTAATATTTGTTTGGTAGTTAACCTAAATATCAAGCTAATTTTACTTTATACGATTTTTTCATTTGATAATTTACCTCTCTTGATATTGATTTTTATTTTATTTTAACACACCATTGTTTTTAAAATATTGATATTTTGAAGACCTAAATTGTTTGTTAGTTAAATATTTTATATGAATTTTTAAGTAGTTAGTCAGATATCAAGTCAATATATTTTTAAGTGTTTTTTTTAGAAAATAATATTTTGTAAAACTTAATTTTCGTTTTAGTTTTTTAGTTAATTAATTTCTTAATATTAATTTCTTAAATAATTAGCTTAAATATTTATATTATTTTTGTTAGTTAAGTTTTTTAGTATTATTTAAGTTTTTTATTCTCTTACTTATTCTGTGTATATTAATTTTGTTAAATAAATAACATAAAAATTAAGTTAATATCCTCTTTTTTTGTTAATTTAACTTTTTCGATATGGACTTTCATTTTAATTGTATTGACATGTTGTAAGAAATAATTTATGTTTTGGTTTTTGTTAGTTAAACATTTTTTTATATTGCTTTCTTTAGTAATTAGCATAAAGTATTGTTTTTGGTTTGTTAAGATTTTGTGTTAATTTTTTAAATATTTCCCCAAAAATTATAAGTTTTAGATGACTTTCTTTTTTGATAATTTAAGATGAATGTTTTTTTGGTAGTATTGATATTTTTAAATAACAATTTTATATGTTTATACAAAAATTTAATCTTAATATTTTTTCTAAATAACTTACTCACTTAATTTTCCATTCTATTGTGATAATTTTATATTTTTTATGTTTTAATTTATTTAAATTATTAATAATATTTTTATTTTTTATGTTTAGTGAAAAACGCTGATATAAACTAATCAGATTGAGTATATACATCCTATGTGGACGCTCTCATTGGCCTAATACATCAACACGGACCACAACTAATATATTTTATGTTAGCAGTTCAGATTTTAATTGTTTGTCATGATTAAAATTTTAAAATAATTTAATTATGGTTTTAAATACAGTTTTTAATAATTTTGTTCTATATATATGATTTTTCATTCATAATCTATTTATATGTTAATTTACATTTTTATTGTTAATAGAAAAATAAGATCTATTTTCAAATCTCTTTTTTATTAATAATTAACTTAAAATTTAGAAACTTTCCTAATAACAACAAAAATAAAATTAATCAAAATTTAGAAATTTTCTTTATAACAATTAAAACGAATTAATTAATTTTAATATACAATATATCTATTACTATAAAAATAATGATGATGTGTACCAATAGAATTGAATCTTTAAATCCTATGTGGACACCCTTAGAGGCATTTAGCATCAACTTTTATTAGTAATAATAGATACAAAAATAAGATAAATTATTGGTAAAACTGGTATTATTGATAAATATAGTATAACTAGTAAAACTGGTATTACTGAAAATCATGATTTATAAAATTAAACTTGGTGCAACTGGTATAACTGAGTAAAGAGAACATATAGTATGGATAACTAGTATTACTGATTAAGTTTTACAAGGCTACAATGAGCAACAACGCCGACCTACAACAAACATTCAGTTGTACCAAGTTCTATCATTATTACGTATAAGATCCGACTAGTTTTACCTAGTTCTATCAGTATTACGTATATTAGTTCTATCAAGTTCTACCAGTATTACATGTAAGAACCGGCTAGTTTTATCTAGTTCTACCAGTATTACATGTAAGAACTGACTAGTTTTATCTAGTTCTACTAGTATTACTTAAAAACCCAAAAATTCTAAATTAAACTCAACCAGAATTCTAAATCGAATCCCAACAAATCATGAAACTCTTCTCCTTCTTCTTCTTCTTCATTATCAGTCTCGTCCTAGCGCCTCCTTTCTTCATCTTCTTCTTCAGTCGATCCGCCTTCTTCACCAATCAGAACCACATATCTCTCTGTCTCAATTGCACAATTTCAGGCTGAATTGGTGAAACGTATATTAGAAAAACACCCAGACATGGCACAAGAGATCCGAGCAAAGAACCAACATCTGAGGACAGCAAACATGAATGTCCTTCTCAACCTAATCAACACTGTGCCAGCCACTGCAAGATCTCTCCTACGATGATCTGTTGGGAGCAGACAGTGCACTAACATACGTGAGAGATTCAAGATTTAAGGTGAATTGGTTGGAGAATAAGCTGGGGGAAGTAAAGGGAAAGAAGAAGGAAGAGCAGATTAGTCATGCAAGTGTTAGAGGAATAACTGAAGGAATCTAAGCTGAAATTCTCATTCAAAGAAGCTCTGTTCGAGAAAGAGAAGGAAGAACTGAAGAACTTGAAGAAGAAGTGCTCAGACATAGAAACTTGGTTGGAGAAAGAGAAGGCAAAGGTGTTTGCTGCTCCTCTAACGTTGGATGATGTTGTCTGATATGTCTTAAGGTTTGGCACTTTTAGTCTTAGGTTTCAAAGCTAACATCTTAACGTAGAAGCTAGAGAGAGACTTCTGTCCGAAGTAGAAGTTCCCACATTTTGTAAAGAACTAATATTTTGGTTAAGGTGACTCTGGTAGGATTATGTAAAGCAGGCAGCTTCTAATAAAAAAGTATAAATCTTGTCTATATTTTATGCAGTTTCCGAGTTTTGGTGTACTGGTGAATACAAATCAGAGTTTACAATGTTTGAATATTTCAAGAATCAGAGTTTACAATGTTTGAACATTTCAAGTATCAGAACGAAACGTGAGTCTAAATAAATTTGGGCCTGAAGTGCAGTTAGAGGCCCATAAGCCTCAGAAATGTTATCAAAGTTTCCTCCTTTCTCCACAGAGAACTGAAGAAGAAAAGATAGAGAGAGAGAGACCATGGCTGTGTCCGTACATTCCGTCATCGACACGAACCTAGCGACTACAGTGTCCTCGAATCGTTTTTACCGTAATGTTACTCGCCGTCGAATTGGCTCAATCTCCGTGAATTGCTCGGTGGAGACGACGGAGGCTGACCGGACGGTGAAGCTGAAGAATGGGAACGACTCACTTGAGATTTGCAGAGTTCTCAACGGAATGTGGCAGACGAGCGGAGGATGGGGGAAGATCGATCGAAACGACGCCGTCGAAGCTATGCTCCGATACGCCGACGCTGGTCTCTCTACTTTCGACATGGCTGATCACTGTAAGTATAGCTAAAGACGCCTTTCAAATTCTATATTTACACAAATGTGATTTAAAAGATAAACAAGTGAAATTAGAGGTTGAGAATTTTGATTACATGAGGTAGAATTGGCCTTAGTTTTTTTGTACTTCTTTGATGTTTAGATGGTCCTGCAGAAGATCTCTACGGCATTCTTATCAATAGGGTTCGTCGAGAACGTCCTCCTGAGTATTTGGAAAAGATTAAAGGGTGAGAGAGTTTGTTTGTCAATAAAATGTAGAAATCAAAACTCAGTTTCCAAAGCCACGATGAATCAGAGTTTGTATAAGATATGGATTTGGCTATTTGTGTGATGCAGTTTGACAAAATGGGTTCCTCCTCCAGTGAAGATGACAAGCAGCTATGTTCGTCAGAACATCGACATATCGAGGAAGAGAATGGATGTGGCTTCTCTTGATATGCTTCAGTTTCACTGGTGCTTGTTTCTCTCTTGACTAGCTTCTGTAATGACCATTTCGACTCTGCGTAATCTATTTTCTTGGCTAATCTGTAAATTTGGAATAGGTGGGATTATGCGAATGATGGTTATCTTGATGCACTGAAACACCTCACTGACCTTAAAGAAGAAGGTAAGGAAAAAGAGGGTTCATCTATCTTTCCTCTTTTCATGTGGTTATCATCTTATTTGTCTATCGGTTTTGCTTAAAACAATGCTTTGCAGGTAAAATCAAGACTGTTGCTTTGACAAATTTTGACACCGAGAGGCTTCAGAAGATCTTAGAAAATGGAATCCCTGTTGTTAGCAATCAGGTAATTGTTCAAACATCCTTCTCCCTTTCTTTCTCCAGATTCTTTTTCTGTTCCAATATTGTTTTGTTCATGTGAAATTCTTTTTCAGGTGCAACACTCCGTTGTAGATATGCGTCCTCAACAGAGAATGGCTCAGCTTTGCGAGCTCACAGGCGTTAAACTTATAACGTAAAAGTCTCTTCTTATACTCTGTTGAAAAAACTATTTTGATTTCGTCCTCTTTAACAATTAAATTAACTACACATCATTGGTGTTTTGCAGGTATGGAACAGTTATGGGTGGTCTCTTATCAGAGAAGTTCCTTGACACCAATCTAACAATCCCTTTCGCTGGCCCTCGCTTGAATACTCCTTCTCTCCAAAAATACAAAAGGGTAAGACTTTCAAATCATTCACAGATAAACCTGATTCCCATTGTATGAGTTTAGGATTTATCATTACGTTGTCATCATACTGCTTTTCACTGTTTTAAAGATTTCTGAAAGTTAACATTACAGATGGTTGATGCATGGGGAGGTTGGAGTCTATTCCAAGGTTTACTCCGAACGATGAAGAGCATAGCTACAAAACATGGAGTCTCTATTCCGACAGTAGCTGTGAGATACGTACTAGATCAGGTATTTGTCTTTCCTTCACATGGATTACTCTTGAGTCTTAAAGGCGAGGCTGGTTTTTTATTTGTTCTGAAAATTGGGATTCTCATTGTAGCAAGGAGTTGCTGGATCAATGATTGGGGTGAGACTCGGGTTAGCGGAACACATACAAGACGCAAACGCGATATTCTCATTGGTGTTGGATGATGAAGATGTTAACAGCATTCAAGAAGTTACCAAGAAAGGTAAGAATCTTCTCCAAGTCATTGGTGACTGTGGAGATGAATACAGGCGTATATGATGTTGTAGACTACTGTATTTTCAATACACAAGATCTATGCTAGAATACGTATATAACGAGAGATGATGTATTCTTTTCTCTTTCTTTTCTTGGTGCAAATGCTGATAATGTATACAATACACAAGATCGATGTATATATATTGCATTCATCTAGAGACATAGATTTTAGTTAGATTTTGATGTTTTGCAGTTTGGTAATGCATCAAACCAACCAATCATATTAGCACAACAATTCGTTTTAGATATTTTAGGACATGACTTTGTTATAAAATCTTAGATTTAGGAACTGAACAATATAACTAATCCATCTTATTAAGTTAAAATTTTGCAAGTGGAAAGTGGGAAACCAAACCTTCTTTTTCGAGGCGCGACTTCAAAAGTTATACAATCATCTTTTGGACTCTCCAACTATCGTCATCTTAAAACAAACATCTTAGAATATTCAATATTTCAATACACTCACAAGTACTGTAAACACCTACTTTATTATCTACGAACAAGTAGCCTAAACACCATTGCATGCAGTTGCTTTCTCATTTAACATAATTATATTATGGGTCTTTTTCTCGACTTGCGAGTTGGAGGATCCACAGAAAAGCACAACTGAATTTTCAATTAACTTTTCTTCCGTATTGCATGTTTATATACACCCCAATAGTATTTTCCGGATATGCCTATGAGAGAAAACGCAAAAGACCAAATATAAAAGGGATTTAGGCTCAATCATAAATAATACTAAAGTACCCTATCATATAAATTATTCTTAATCGTATATATATATAAATATATATATACATATTTGTTGACAGAAAACAAAAAGAATTGAATACTACATGTTTACTTAGATTCATTTATCCATTTTTAAAAATGTTTTCGTTTTACAAATTTTGAATCATTGTATATGCGACTATTTAGATGTCTTGATTTAAAGTTTAAAAACCGACACATTTTCTTTATAAATGGATTAGTAGTAAGTAACTATTCCTCTTTCTTCCTACCAAAAAAAACTATTCCTCTTTCTATGCAGAACATAATAACATTATATTCTATGTTTTCTATGTAAAATGACAAAACACTTATCTTCAAAAGAAAATAAAGCTAATTGTGTGACTGTCGTTTCTTTTAGTTGAATATAGTAAATATATATATATATATATATATATATTCTTAAATTTAGTTTGTTCTTTAGTTATTTCACACAAAAATAAATATAATTATTAATGTACTGCTAAAAAAATAGCCTTTTCTTGACTCATCAAAAAAAGTTATTTAAAACATCATTTTCAAATTTTGAGAATTTGAAACTGCACCACGTGCTACTTTTACAACATGTCGATTGGTCAGAAAGGAGCGAATAATTGTAGATATCAACTGAAACTTAAAAAGTTTTTTGCAAATAGAAATGGGGAACCAAACATTTTGTTTTGTGGCGCAGCTTTAAAAGTAGGAACAAGCATCTTTTTAACTTGGTCTTCTCGTCGAAATAAGTAACGTCAACTTTGAATGAAACCTGCCAGCTCAGTGCATGAACGACGCGATGTCGACATGCAAACTGTTTAGGGATTACAAAACATAAAGACCCAATCCCTAGTTGCGGCATATTACTCTGAAACCCCACTTGCAAACTACTACTAGCACTTCACACTTTTGGTCCATATTATCATCACGTGTTTAATTTTGACGAAGCACGTGTTTCTTCTCTTTTTTACTTCAAAAGATATTCCGAAGCAATAGACTAACTTGCCATTGTATTTTATTTTTTTGGTATAACGACTTTTTGTCCAACGAAACTACTTAGGACGATATATTTTCTTACTTTTTGTCCAATACAAGATTGTACTATTGAGAATAATTTAGCCACTGTTCTACCTTCTTTTTGTGATAGAAAGGACTAATTTATGAGATAGAAAGGACTAATTTAGTCAATGTTCTACTTTTTTTGTTTGTTTGAGATAGAAAGGACTAATTTATGAGACAGAAAGGACTAATTTAGTCAGTGTTCCACTTTCTTTTGTTAGAAAAGTTTTATAAAAATATCACATTTTAAGTTTCGTTTCCAAAATATCACATTTTCAATAATATCACATTCTGAGTTTCGTTTTCCATCATTACTTAAGATTCTAAAAATTCAACAATATATATACTACAAATTTTATAATAGTTTTATAAAAATATCACATTTTAAGTTTCGTTTCCAAAATATCACATTTTCAATAATATCACATTCTGAGTTTCGTTTTCCATCATTACTTAAGATTCTAAAAATTCAACAATATATATACTACAAATTTATAAAATTTAGTAAATTAAGGTTACAAATAATTGAGTACATAAATGATAGTATAAACCCTTATCAACGTTGAGTTGGGCTAGTGGTTTATGATTTTCTTGAAAGTATTCAAAAATAGTGGTATTTTGTTTAGTTAAAATTTGGTCTATGGTATTTAAAGTTATTGTCAAATTTTAATGATAATTTCGAGATGAAATGCTACTCATAAACAGTATACGAAAGGAGAATATGATATCATGAAGAATTTCTGTAAAAACAGAATAAGGTAATATGCTCATTCGATATAAGTTTCTCTATAATAGATTCATATGATTGTTTACATAATAAACAATTTTTTTACTACAAAATCAATTCCAATTTCATTTTTTGTTTTTCGGGAGAAATTCCAAGTTTTTTTGTAACGGCTTAAAATTTGGCTATGAGTTTGGTGTAGTTTGGCATTTTTCTTTGATTAAAAATTGGCAGGATGATGAGTGTTCAAAATGCACGTTTAAGTTTGCCCTCGCGGTGTTAACACACACACACGGCAAGTACACTCGCAACTGCTTATTGGGATCAGCAGACAAATCCATCAAACGTTTCAATTTTAAACGTCCGAAAATATCAGCTAAAGAATAAATCTTTCTCACGGTCTTAATAATCTTTTATTCAGTTCACATTTTCCTCATATGGCTCCTCACATATATTCCCTCCGTTCCAGAAAGTTTGATGTTTTAGAAAAAAAATTTGTTCTATAAAGTTTGATTTTTTGGATTATATATAATTTATTTCTTTTTTCGAGAACACTTTATTCTTGGAAAGAGAAAATATACATTAAAATAACTAATATAAAAGAATATTAAAATGAAAAAGTAACTGAAAAGAATAATTAATGATTGCTTCTTAAAACTTGTGAAAAATTTAAAGAATCGTACATTAAAGAACAGAGGGAGTATTTTCTTAATTAGCAAGATTTGTGTCTATACCAAAGCTAAAGTCAGACTTCGATTGTATCAAATACAACTGTTGTGTTTACGTTTTTTTTTGCATGAGAAAGATTTAATATTAACACACACACACAAAAGGCAGGTAAGCTGACAATTGTATATTGAATCAGCCAACAAATTTCAGTTCACGTTTTGTAAAGTTTCTTTGCAGAACCCTCAGATCATTCTTAGTTAGCAAGTTAGTTTTGTCTCTATACCAAAGAGGCAAAGATAATGTCAGACTTGGATTGTTATCTTTTGAAGAGTGTAATAAGAGTTATACCCTATCATGTAACCAATTATTAGGATAGTTCATAAAAGCATATAAAACCCGTATATTATCAAAACACATGGTTGTACAATTTTTTTCTGCTATTAAAAGTGGTGGAACAAGTTAACACTATCAAATGGTGGCAGTATGAAATATTCGACATGAAAATAACCTATTAATTCAGTAATTTACCATAAGGCAATGAAGTACAAAATGGAAGAGTCGAAGAGATGCACTCAATAATCCACAATTTCTGGCAGCTCAAATGTTTGAAAGATGTTAAAGAGGAAAGGACTAATTAATCAAGATTGTTAAACCAATTTGGAGACATTTTCGTGTGATAAGTCCAATTTTGCGGAAATTACTTGCAAGCTTGAATCCAAGAGAGTTATTATAGAGCAACCTTTCTTCAGTGAAACCCTTTTCTTTTTGACATAATCTAGAGATGATTTTTTAAGTGGTACTACAATAAATCACATACGCTAATGTCCCTCTCAGTATCTTGATATTTTGTGGTTGTTTTCATTTTTTATTTTATTTTCTAACCATTTAGCTATAAATTTCGGTTTAGGAGATTTGACGCAAACCGGTATGATCCACAGACAGAGGAGTACCATTTACATCGCTGTTGATGGCTCACATGTTTCACTTGTTCGAATCAAAATCACGTTCACGCTAGCTACTTATACGGTTAGGTTCTTCAAATTATAAATAATAATACATATCCCTTTTTATAACAAATTCAGTTCCTTTTTAATAAGAGAAAATTACCTTTTGTGTAGAACAACCATACGAGCCGGCGTGGTTTTCTTTATATTAATTGACTAATTAATGATCTTTTGCATAAAGTTGACCAAATGCGTTCGAATAAAGAGATGGATATACACCATAACTATGTAAAAATTTGAGATTTCAAAACTTTTACATTATAACAAAACATTTATATTTTTTGGTGATAGTGATCTCAAGTTCTGGATAACGAACACAACTGATTATCCAAACGCTACTTATCCCTCAAATGATAAACTCGTAAAATAAAATTTGCCCAAATAACAAATAAACACTTTGTATTTTTTTCCTGCAAAATAATCCCGAATATATATGTAGCTTTTTCAAAGGTTTTTGAAAATATGATTCTACTATTTCCTATGTGGACGTGAGTAAAAGTGAAATGTGCAAGAGGAATTAATTTCCTACTTTCCTTTGACGAAAACAAAAATAGAAACTAAATTAACAAAAAAAAACATAAATGGGAGCTGCAAGATCGAACAACCACAAATAGGGGCAAGACAATTTAATGACTGGGGGCGGGAAGCCACCAAAACAGCCACAAATTTTATTCTAGATTCGGTAAATTTTTTAATACTGTACCTAACATGTAACACAAAACTATAAAAGAATGACCTAAACTTAACATCTTATTCTTTTACAGTTTTACTATTACAGATGTTATTGCATTACTATTGTTGGTTAATCTATTTATTCATATTGTCGACACAACACACATATTCTTGTCGACAAAAAAAAAAAAATTCATATCGACATATAAGCAAAGAATATTATTTTACGATATTGTTTGTTTAAAAACAACTGGAATTTAAATATTTTTATTACTGTAAACAAGTAATAATCATGCATTGCGTGAGGTAATGACGTACAAGTTTCCAAAACTGAAATTAATTTGGTTACATACTTACACTAGGTACTGCATCTTGTACGAAGTAAAATAATTATGATTTATTAGAATTTAAGAATATTTTTATAAATTAGAAATCTATGTGAAGCTACCTAACAAAAAATAACATGTATTATATAATAGAAAAAAATACATGACAAAAATATAAATCATATTTATTATGTGAAACTTATGAATTATATGGTTTTCATTCAATTATTTATAAGTTATAACTTTAAAACACACATCACAATATTAATGTTAATAAACCACAAATACTCATCTAGCCAATATTTGTATACGCAACAAATTTGATTTTATTTTGCATTTGAATAATTGAATAGATGATAAATTGTAAGTTAAAAATGTAGTGTATAGATAATATAAAAAAATATTAAATTTAAGATGTAATGAATATAGTTAGAGTTTTAATGCGTTTTTGCTATTATTAATTATATAGAAAATAATATTACATATAAAATTTATTATAATTAGCTTCTCTATAAAAATATTGATGTAAGTTAAAATATAAGTTTGTCCAACTTATATGTTGTTTTTACTCTAAATAAATTTTAAAAATTTATGACTTATTAGAAAAAAGTGTCACTATTCTTTATATTCGAAATCTTTATATATCTATATATAAATATATCTATATTAACAAAAATAATTAATTAATAGATTAGTAATCAGTAATATTACTTAGATCTAAATTAAATTAGTAATTGTACCATAAATTAAATTACTTGTATCATTGCATTTTGATTAAAATTATCAATAAATTCATGTAGCTCACAATTATATTATATTTAATACTAAATATTAGAAAAAGTAGAAACTATTGAATTATTTTTAATTAAGTAAGTTATATCTAAATTTATTATTGATTAAATTAGCTGTATAGTTACCATATATCAAATATAATAGATATTTTTTAGGAAAAAATAGAAAAAAATTAATAGGTGAATTTTGATTAAATTATTACTTAATTCATAAAGCATTATAATAAAAATAAAATTTGTTTGATAAATAAAATTACAAAAATGAAATTGATTATAAAATGTCAATATTATTTTATATAAATATTATTTTAAAATTAGATTAATCTGCAAAAATCAATCATAAAAATATCAGCTTTGCAAAATAGTAAATTATAATAACATTTATTTTTAAATACTAAATATACATAGAAATTATACAAAAATAGATTAAATATTTTTTAATTTAATATTGTTAAAAAGTTATCCAAAATTATATATAACCGAGTCAATAACTAAATTATCATATCAAAATTTTAAACAAATCTATATAAATAAATGATCATATCATCTATTTCTAATATAAGTCTTTTAAAACAAATCTATATTTTTTTACTATATGGATGATATGATAATTTATTTTACAAAAAAATAAATTTATATAAAAATTAAAAAATATATATATTTAGCAGAAAATATGATTAAAAATAATGAATATGATATATTTTGGTAAAAAATATAAAGAAAGAAAATATTTTTCTAAATTAAATGCTGAATTATATATAAATAAATGATATAAACTAATGTTTAATCAAATTAATATGATAACAGATTATGTAATTAATCTAGTAATATAAATTTATTTTATATATTTATTGAGAATAAATATAGTGATAACATATCAGCAAATGACACAACTATAAATATTTACAAAAATATGAAGTATATTAATCCAGAAGTATTTTAAAGATTAATCTATGATAACAGGGATTACAACTTCCAGTTACATCTATGAAAATATTAATTCTATAGCCCTTTGTCAAAAAATTAAAAATAATTAATTCTATGGTCCCCGAAACACAATGAATAATAAAATAAATGTCTGTCCACAATAAACGAGAGAAAGAATCTCTATTTAATTAACTCTTTTATGTTTTCTTTTCTCGTACGTCACTCACATCTCTCTCCTCTTTCCTCTCACCTTCCTTCTTCGTCTTCTCTCTCTCTCTCTCTCTCTCTCTCTCTCTTCAACAATGTTACTAATCATATCATTCTTCATCGTCTCCATCTTCCTCCTCTTCATATTCTCACTCTTCCACACAATCTTCCATCAAAAACTACGTTACTGCAGCTGCGAGATCTGCCATGCTTACCTCACTTCAAGCTGGAGAAACGATTTCGTCAATCTCAGCGATTGGTACGCTCATCTTCTCCGGCGATCTCCGACGTCGACGATCAAAGTCCACGTCCTCAACAGCGTCGTAACCGCAAATCCTTCAAACGTCGAACACATCCTCAAAACGCGATTCCACAATTATCCGAAAGGCAAACAGTTCTCCGTTATCCTCGGTGATCTCTTAGGCCGTGGGATTTTCAACTCCGACGGTGACACGTGGCGTTTCCAGAGAAAGCTCGCGAGTTTGGAGCTCGGGAGCGTCTCCGTCAGAGTTTTCGCTCACGAGATCGTTAAAACGGAGATCGAAACTCGGTTAATCCCGGTTTTGACATCGTTCTCGACTAATCCGAGCTCGGTTTTGGATCTTCAAGATGTTTTCAGGAGGTTCTCGTTCAATACGATAAGCAAATTGAGTTTTGGGTTCGACGCGGATTGTCTCCGGCTTCCTTTTCCGACGTCGGAATTCGCCGTCGCGTTTGACGCAGCTTCGACGCTTTCCGCGAAACGCGCGTTGGCTCCGTTTCCTCTACTGTGGAAAATCAAAAGGATTTTCAAAATCGGGTCGGAGAAAGAGCTTAAGGAATCAATTAATGTGATAAACCGGTTAGCTGGTGATTTGATTAAGCAACGGAGGTTAAGCGGTTTGACGGGGAAAAAGAACGATTTGATCTCGAGATTCATGGCGGTTTTGGCAGAGGACGACGACGAGTATCTCCGAGACATCGTAGTAAGCTTTCTATTGGCTGGTCGGGACACGGTGGCTGCCGGTTTAACAGGATTCTTTTGGTTATTGACGCATCATCCAAAAGTAGAGAACCGGATCAAGGAAGAATTGGACCGGGTCATGGGTCCCGGTTTTGATTCAGTCACTTCCTCTTGCGATGAAATGAGAGATATGAATTATTTGCATGCGGCGTTGTACGAAAGCATGAGATTGTATCCACCGGTCCAATTCGATTCCAAATTCGCATTAAACGATGACGTTTTAGCCGATGGTACATTTGTGAAAAGAGGTACTAAAGTCACGTATCATCCTTACGCAATGGGTCGGATGGCCCGGATCTGGGGACCTGATTACCAAGAGTTTAAACCGGATAGGTGGTTGGATAATCAAGGTAAATTTCGGCCCGAAAATCCGGTTAAGTATCCGGTTTTTCAAGCCGGAGCTAGGGTTTGTGTGGGGAAAGAAATGGCTATCATGGAGATGAAATCCATAGCTGTGGCGATGATTAGAAAATTCAAAATGCAGGTTGCGGGCCCTGGATCGACCGAGATGCTCCGGTTTGCACCGGGGCTCACAGCGACGGTTAATGGTGGATTACCGGTTATGATCCGAGAAAGAGAAGCTTAAAGAGTTTTTCTAACTGAGTTAGGTTCATAAATTATAAAGTCAGATATAATATAATAATATTTCTTTATAAAACATAGATATAGTCTGGTTTTAACGGACCAATTATTGTTAACATGCAAGCACACTTGTTGACAACATCTATGTGTACCATTTATATGTATTATTAAATTTAGCAAGGCAAGTGGGTCTTAAACTCTTAATTAAACAATGCTTTAATATAATATGATTACGTAAAACAAAAAAAGGCGTTCAGATGTAAATTCCAGTAGATGGTGGTTTATGATAAGATTGATGGATTCTCCAGAATGTATCTTATGTTATGTATTTATGAACAAATATAGTGATTACGTTTGCGGATTGTACAATGACCATTTTTAAAAAGTTTTACTTTGTGTGAGTGTGCAAATTAACAAAAATAGATTGTGTGATGTTTGCGACGAAAATATCTCTACCGACCATTCCAGAAAATATGCAGAGATTGTAAATGGTAGATATGCTAACTTGGAACAGAGAATAAATACAAATGACTATGCAATATGATAGTATCAAAGGTTATTATGAGCAATGTTATAAAATAATAGGCAATAAATATGATAAACTAACATGTTATTGGGGGGAATATCAAATCATGAATAAATGGACACAACAATACATTTTCTGATTAAAAAGTATGATATTAAGTAAAATAACATGTTATTTGTTGCTGTCAAAAAAAAAAAAAAAAAACATGTTATTTGTTCAAAACATGCATGAAAACTATAATAATTTCAAAGTAAAATTCTAATAAACCAGAGAATGGTTTATCTAAGAAAATGTCAAAGTCATCTACCTACTTGTCAAGTAGTAGTACTTGATGGAAACTGTAAGATTAGTTAGTGAATATATATACTCTTTAAAGATTATGATATTTTTAAATACTTTCAGACTATGCTCTTTATTTTTATATAAAAGGAAACTTTCAAGTCGTTTTGGTGCCCATAGTATGATACTAGCTAGTTTTGAGATTAGGTGGTATTTAATCAGTATTAAGATTAGGTGGTGTCTAATAAATTATATTAGAACGTGGATTATATAATTGTATCACATATGCAGAAGCGTACAACCTACAAACTCCAAACGACTAGATTCAGCACAAACTAATTATTACGATTAACCTTAGAGGCTTAGATGTCATTGCCAGAGAATTTATTTGGTGCTAGCACGACGCTTATACAACTTTTCATCTTGTATTTTCTTAATTTTTATTCTTACTACTCTCTTTTAAAAAATTATTTGTCTACACCTTGATGTTATAAAACGTGGCCTATGTCCATATATAGCCGCCACTTATACAATAAACACATAGTTTCAAAGTTCTTGGACGAACTGCATCAATTTGGTTAGTATAAACTATTTAGTTAGATACTTAGATAAATATATTTTATAAAATTTTGCGGCGGGTAGGTTTTATTATTTATTAATAAATAAATATGATTGGGAAGTAGAGAAAGGGACACGTTGAGAATGTGAAGAGCGTGGTGGATGTTGAGGTGGAATCAATAAAGTTTCTTCATGAGTTGACACATCAGATTTTTTAATCTTTGAAAAGCTGACACCTCAGCTATTTTACAAACCAATCAAATTAAAATATTAATACAACTCATTTATTTATTTTTATTTTTAAATTTAAACTCATTAAAAACCCAAATATATTTTTTGTTATATAACAATAACACTCAAGTCTCTCTATAAGTTGACACATCAGATTTTTTAATATTTGAGAAGCTGATACCTCAGCTATTTTACAAACCAATCAAATTAAAACATTAATACAACTCATTTACTTATTTTTATTTTTAAATTTAATCCCATTAAAAACCCAAATACATTTTTTGTTAATAATTTATTTTATTTTTTAACAAATCAAAGCCCAAATAATAAATAACAGCAAATAAAAAAAAATTTTGTTTTATTGTTTGCCAAATCCAAACCCAAATAATAAATAACAGCAAAAAAAAAAATCTTTGTTTTATTTTTTGTCAAACTCAAACCCAAATAATAATTAACAGCAAATAAATAAATATTTTTTTAGCTATTTGTTTGTTCGAGAGAGACATATATGATTGAAAAAGTATAGGCTCATCATCAACTATGTATCCATAACAACAACGCAAAAAGTCTTATGTTATAAGAAGCTCACACATCAACAAAAATTTGAATCAATAAAAACATAACAATAATACATATCATTAACACACTAATAAAATCAGTTTACTATTTTGCAGACCCATTAAAAAGCCCAAAATTTTACAAAAAAATGGAGGTTAAAAGCAAATAAGAAGAAGCTCAGACCACCATGACTTAGAGATTCGCATTTCCAGTGGTTACTCAGAATAAATTTTCATGGGTTTAGTGGGAATAGAGAATTCCTTGGTTTTAGTAAGAAAATGTGATTTTTCAGTTTTGCTAGGAAAACATAATTTCTTGGTTATGGCAGAAAAAAATGAATTATCGAATTTGGCGGAAAAATATGAATTTTTGGTTTTGGTGAGAAAACAAAAAAAAAATTGATTTTGACGCAAAAACAAAATATCTTAGTTTTGATGAGAAAATGCGAGGAAAATGCAACTTTTCAATTAACAAAAATATAATTTATTGGTTTTTATAGGAAATGCAAATTTTAGGCTTTTGATGGATAATGTGATTTCTTGATTTTTGCGGAAAAATGTGATTTCTTAGTTTTCGTAGGAAATTGTAATTTGACGATTTTGGCAGAAAATACAATTTCTCAGTTTGATGAGAAAACAAAATTTCTCGATTTTGGAATGAATAAGCAATTTTTCTGTTTTGATGGAAAATGCAAATTTTCAGTTTTTTACTTATAATGTGATTTTTTGGTTTTTGCGTTAAAATGTGATTTCTTAGTTTTTGCGGAAAACACAGCTTCTCAGGAGATAATGCAATTTTTGGTTTTCGTGGGACATTGTGGTTAATCCGTTTTGGTAGGAAGACTTGGTTTTTGGTTTGATGATTTTTGTTTTTTTTTTTTGCGAGAATTGACGATTTCTTGGTTTTCATGGGAAAATATTTTTTTTGGTCTTGGTGAAAAAACTTTATTTCTCTGTTTTGACGGGAAAACACAGGTTCTCGCAGGAAAATGTGATTTTTTGGTTTTTGCGGGAATATGCAATTTCTCTGTTTTGGTGTGAAAATGAAATTTCAGGTTTGACGAAAAAATTAATGTTTTTGATTTTGGCGGAAATAGGTGAAATGGAATTTTTTTTGTTCTGTCGGAAAGTGCGATTTCTCAGTTTTTTAAAAAATGGCAATTTGCTTTTTCAAAGAAGGATCAAGTGGCAATTTAGTAGAGATAACAAATTACATTTGCCACTAGCAGAAATGTACTTAAAAAAATATTTTTTTATTCTTACATATATATTTATAGATAGTTAGCTAAACAAATTTGATAGTAGATTATAATTTCAAAAAATAAAAAAAAATTAAAGATATATAAGGTTTATTCAGATTTAAAACATATAAATACATAATTTAAGCTAATAAAAAACTAAATATAATATTCATTTATATTATAAAAATAATTTTATTATATTAAAAATATATATAAAATCTAGGAATATATCCTGCAGCGTAGCGCGGATATATACCTAGTCAATTTAATTTGAGTAAGTGGTCCTAATTGCGAACTGTTAAGTATCGTGTAAATTATGCAAAATTGCGAATGACAAAGATAGCTAGCTAATTAACAATTTTACAATTTCCACCGATTCTCCTCATCTATTTTAAACTAATTTTCTATCTTAATCTATTTAAAGTATGCCGATCAAGATCACGATCGCGATACCTGTGATATATACTTTTATGTTACACTGGTGTTATGTATTGATGTTGTTCACATGATTTCACCAATCGCACCAAAATATTAAATTAGTCGACAACTTTTTGTCCATCTGATGTGTAGAATGCGAAAAAGGAGTATTTACATGTAGACTCTTTTAAGCAAAGCGGTGAAAGAAACTATATGGTGTACGGTGAACGTGGAATGGAATATTTATATATCTTTATGTTAACTATTAAACTATTATTACGTATCCATCAAAAAATATTTTTCTTTTACTTTTTAAAACATTACACTTGTTGTGTGAAGAACAGAAGAAGAATCCATGAATTTGATATTCTGAAGCGTTTTCTTTTCGTATATTCTGGTCTGAAAGAAAATATTTTTTAATTGTATGTAAGGCATATATCTTGTTTTGTCCATATACTGTACTTTTACTTTTTTTTGATCCACATTTGACATGTGCGTGTTTAGTTGTAGAGTTTTTAGGAAGATTTTCGAAAACCAGATGCACCCTTATATTGTGGATTTTCTTTTTTATCATGTACTAATGTTTCCTATGTAATTTTTTACTTGTCTAATAAAAAAAGTTGAAAACATTAATTTACGATTATTTAAATCTACACTTGATTATACATTTCATATAGCAAGATTCTACAAGCCAGACAACGTTACTTCCAGGCCCGGCTCAATATTAAAGAGGACAGGATCCTGAGCTAAAAACAAACAAATGGACTTTTCTTAGTTATAATTTTTTTTTAAAAAACATTTGGGCCCTTTTGACAAACCTAAAAACCAAAAAAAATATTAAGACCATACCTAGAATCGGGCCTGGTTATTTCGTCATAGAATTCCCAAACTTCCGGTAGTAGGCTAGGTAAGTTAACGTGTATTAGGCTTGAAGAAGCATATACAATTTTCGGAGTTTTTAAAAACAAACTGGAAAAGGAACAATATTTCCTGAAAATTATACTGCAAATACTGTTTTTAAATCTATTTTTAATATTTTCTAGAAAACTAAAAAATAATATTGTTAAACCAGAAAATCACCACTAAAGATTTGATTAACAGTTGTAGGTTTCAGAGAATAAGTTTTTTTATTAATAGCTTAAAGATAAAGCGATTATAAAGATTAGTATAACCGAGAGATTAGGCCGAAGTGAAA